ATCTCATCCCTTTCCCCCCCCCCCCCCACCAGAACGTCTCAGACTAACGAAGCGATCCCCGCCAGTCCTTTGGCCAGAATAACTACTACGTACCTCACTAGTCTAGAGTATCTACTCCGTAGTGACTACCATAATATTCCACTCTCTTGGGTCTCTCCCTTGCATTCTTTGTATCTCTTTTGCTCAGACCTCTGTCGGATATACCTCCCACAGCAATTGCATATATATATATATACACCCATTGGCATCTCCCCCACTCGCTCCTATCCGCGACCCCCTCTTTATTGCCGCAGTCCTTGGTTCAGGTACCCCGCCGAAAGAAGCCCATCGACCAACAAAAGCTACACTCACAATGACCGAACACGACGATGATCTCGTTGCCTCGAGAACCGAGGGCTTCAAGGTAGGAGAGAAGAAGACAATCGAAGAATACACAAAACTCGGTATGTTGAGGCTCTATGCCCTGCCCTGTCATGCCAGTCTTCCCTGCATTCGGGGTTACAAGTCAACCCCCTTACCGCAAGCTCGCCTCTGTCTCCAGACCCGAAAAGTGCAAGCTGAATACTCATAAATATTCACACCCCGGTCAGACCAGAATGACGAGTCCCTAAACCGCTGGAAAGCCTCTCTCGGCCTCAACACCGGCAACCCGATCGGAGACCCCAACGACCCCAGAAAATGCATCATCAAGTCCCTCGCCCTGGAGGTCGAGGGCCGTCCCGACGTGGTGATTGAGCTGTCCGCGCCCGGTGCCCTCGAGAAGCTCAAGGACAAGCCGTTTACCATCAAGGAGGGAGCGACCTTCCGCATCAAGGTCCAGTTCCAGGTGCACCACGAGGTCCTGAGCGGTCTCAAGTATCTGCAGGTGGTGAAGCGCAAGGGAATCAGAGTCAGCAAGGACGAGGAGATGCTGGTGAGTAAATACCAATCCGTGATTTGTGTGATCGCCTTGTGCGTCGTTTAACCTAGCGTCGTAGGGAAGCTATGCCCCCAGCACCACCGACAAGCCAATTTACGAGAAGAAGTGTAAGTCCCTCTACGCTGTATTGCGTCCAAGACTTGGTCCTGATTGAGCACAGTCAACCCCGAAGAGGCACCCTCCGGCATGCTCGCCAGAGGACACTACAACGCTGTCTCCAAGTTCCTCGATGATGACAACCAGACCCATCTCCTGTTCGAATGGTCGTTCGATATTGCAAAGGATTGGTAGGCTCTTTTTGACGGTATCCATTATAATGTCTCGTCTTTGAATATATCATGATCAGCATATTTGGAAATTTACATGCGTTGGACGGATCTCCTTGTCAAAATATTCCGGACATCCATCCGATTTAAGAGAACAAGGGGTTGCGTTTTGGTCATACGGACAAACATCTTATATAAACAATTCAAAAGAATCATGAGTGACAATTGATTTTTCATTTGGTATATGCCTCATTTGAAACATTTTATTTCATCATATCAATGCCTTCTATAAATGCTCTTTCAGATGCCAAACTCCAAGCGTTGCATCAGGAAGCACTGCAAACAACAAAAGAAAAACTAATACAGGAATAAAAGGGTATCACAAAAAGTAATCAATCACAGGATTCTGGCCGTCCTTGTTCTGTTGCGCTTGTTGTTCTCCGCGGTGGATATCGTTCTCCGGCGCGGCATCGAAGATGTTGAAGTATCTCTCCCCAGTATCACTTACTTCAAGAACACTGGCGAGATTCCCGCACCGGTAGCAATAGTTGGGTGCACTCCACACCGTACTCAGACGGTCGTCATAGAGAACCTGATACCCTTCCTGGCACAGCTGATGCGCTCGCAAAATATGCGACATGCTATTGACCTCGAGGAATTTCCGAACAACCTGCGCACCGAATGTGTAGCCGGCTCCTCTTGGCGATAGCGAGAACTCGTCGCGTTCGGTGTCGGGGTCGGACCAGACCAGATCAGCCATGGGACCCTCGTGAGGGATCTCGCGGAATCGATCGATAATCTTGATCTGGTCTATTGAGTGGATCGAGGGGGAAAGGCCACCGTGTACGCAGAAAATCTGATCGTTGATAACCACGCTCAGGGTGAGAAAGTCGAACATGTCGGTGAAGTAGTGCCATACGTTGGCGTTGCCGTATTTCCGCGCGCACTCTGTATAGAAGCCGTAGGACTGGGTGACCCCGCGCGATTCGTGGTTACCACGAATGAGATGAACGCGTTGAGGGTATCGTAGCTTCAGGCAAACTAGAAGGGAGATCGTCTCGACGCTGAACAGACCGCGATCCACGTAGTCGCCTACACAAATGGACCGTCAGCACTGCATTTCCTCAAAACTGAACAATCCCTTTGAACTAACCCAGAAACAAATAATTCGTGTTTGGACAGAACCCCCCGATCTTAAAGATCTCAATCATGTCGAAGAACTGCCCGTGGATGTCTCCGACAACAGTGACCGGAGCTCTGATATGCACCACATTGCTCTCCTTCATCAGCAGCTCTTTAGCTTTGGCGCATATTGCTTCAATCACGGAATCCGCCAACAACTCTTTCCTATAGAGCCGGTCGATGCACTCGTCCAGGTCGATGCTAGCTGTCATACGATAAGCTTTTGCAGGAGGGAGAAAGTAAGGCGCGCGGGGTCAACCTACCCGGTAACCCTGGCATTGCGGCTGAATTGGCTTCAAGTGACCCCCAAGGATCGCTCTCGGAGACAGTAGTGATACGGAGTACAGAAAGACGATAAGGAATGTGGGTGTTGACACGTGCCAAACTTCTCAGATAAGGTTCGGAATGACCACAGCAACGAGAGAAAAGGAACAAATGAGAGAAGACACTACGAGTGCGGACTCGAAAAGGGGGACGTCTGAAGTGTTCCTGCAACCGCTGGCATCATGGCCGACAGACCAAGAGAGGGTGTGCGGCACTGACTGGATCCGCGCAGCACAAGGCTCTGATGACGGGGAGTCGGGAGTTCAGTAGGTGATATGGAAGGACTTTTCCTGGGTTTCCATAGATCAGTTCGCGTCAATCTAGCTCCTTGCTGAAAAGATCTCGGCACGCATAACACCTTTATTAATCATCAATCATCCTCAACAGCTCCAGACCATCAACGCACGGAGTCAATTCCCATTCTGCCTCAGAATACCGCCTGCTTCATCTTATCAAAGCCAATGGCGGCCCCGTATGTCCCAAGGAAGGTTAGTTCGCCACGTGAGGTCCGCGTGCCTTACTGCCTTGCCCTGACATGGACATGTTGTACCACTGCAACGAGGGAGGGAAGATGAGGATGGTCACAGCGCACGCGTAGGTACCTATCTCCTGCCCTGTCTAAGTGGTATAATTTATTCTATCCAATCATCTGATTGTATGTCAAAGTGCGGTATCGTACCATATATACATCTAGATCATCAATTGAAAATCTCAAGAGGCTACTCCAAAGCCAATGACATTCCGACCAAGGGCAAAGCACTAGAAGCCGCTTAATCCAGGGGCCCCGGGCTTATCATGCGCCAAAAGCTGTTGGGCCTCCTCCTGATCCTCTGAAGCGCTTTCTTCATCTTCTTCGTCTTCCTCATCTTCCTCTTCGTCGTCGTCATCGTCTGTCTCTTCCTCGGTCTCTTCTTCGTCAGAGTCCGTCACTTCTTCTCCGGACTCAGTTTCCTCCTCTTCCGTCTCAGACTCCTCCTCCAGCCACTCGTCAAGGGTTTTACTCTTTGCCACGGAAGCACCCGCTCTTGCGTGGCCGTTTCGTTGCCGGTTCATGGCTGCAACATTGCTCTCGTGTTCCATCAGAGCCCGGTCAAGCTTTTCACCTGCCGTCACAGGTGCTCTTTCGGTCAGTTCCGGCTTCACCTCTGATTCTCGGAGGGTGGGGTCCGGCTCTTGTCCCAGTTCAACCCAGTCGGGAAGATCGTGGTAGCCACTCAGCCCGAAAGGACCAGCGTCTGGCCCCACGATAAGCGTGGACGAGCCGATGAGTAAATTCTTCCGCGTTTCCGATGGGCTTGGGGCATGTGGAACAGGCTTAGGTGCTAGCAGAATGAGATTCGCGAGCTCAGTGGAAGAGGGGTTGGCCAAGAGAGCTTTTAACATCCGAGCCCGGTCACGAAGGTCGTAGGACGAATCGTATCGAGCAAGGAGTAGAATGTATCGCCAAAGGAGAGTTATTTGGTCCTCTTGCGGTTCTTCTTTTTGTTGGTCTTCTTCATTGCCCTCGTCGAGTTCTGGTTCCTTAACGGCATCATCCGCCCACTCGTTACGGTCCTGGTTTGTTTTGGGTTCTGATTCCGACGGGTTCTCCGCATGCTGCTTTGGAGGGTTTCGTAACAGGTGGTGCAGGTATACCTTCGCACCTAACAAAACAATCTGCTGTTTCACCACCTCCGGCTCATCCGCGAATTTTTGTACTAAAATTCGCAGAACATCTGGTGCGATATTCCTCTTGGGATCTACTCCCGCGAATTCTCCGACCAGCCATATTATGGTCGCTCTAGCTTCCGGGCTACTGGACGAACCGAGATGCTTCACAAGCTGGATAACTGTTCGTTCATGAGAAGTCGGATCTTGTTGAATCAGATGCCTAATCACGGTCAAGGACTCTGATACCAGAGTCTCATCAAGGCTCGTGATTTGACGGAGTAGAACAACCAAGCAATGTTTCGCAGTGCTGGGGTCATTCTGCGCACAACGCCCCAGGGCGCGAACACTCTCACGGACAAGGTCTTCATCCGCACCTTTTGAGAAACGCTCCAGCTCGTTAATGATCACACCCTTGAGATGCAAACCACAGTGCGGGAAGAGAATTGTGAGGACTTCGAGTTTCAGGCGCCATATGTGAGGCGGATCTGAAGCATGCACGAAGAAGTGAGATACGTACTTTGTGAACAACTTTGGGTGTTTTAATGAGACGACAACAATGTTAAAGAGCGCAACGTGTTGTATATCCTGGGGGCTTCGAAGAAGAGCAACCAGAGGGCCGACAGCAGCATCAAGATATTCGGGTGGAGCAAGATATAGGAAGCAACGAACAACACCGACGATAACGGCGGAATTGCGGTTCTGCAAAAGCAACCTGCAAGACCGGAATAGAAGCTCTAAATCGGGGTCTATCACGGGCATCTCATATTCCTCGCCATCGCCCTGAGTTTCACCACCTTGTTCATCGTCGTAGAATCCTCTGGAAACTGCGCTCTTCATCTTCTGAGTCTTCCGGGGAAAGCATTTTCGTGCGTAAAAAGTCAAGAGACGCAAAGTCGCAAGCTGGCCCCATTCATCCATATCCACAAGCTTCTTGACCAAGCTCCGATAGTGCTTATGAATCAGATCGATCCGATCGGGACAAATTTCTAGAAATGCGGACACAGCAGGCCCAGCAACAAAGTACTGAGCGTCGCCTAGTAGAGTAGACACATAGCCGATCAGCTGGGGTAGGGTGTTTGGATCAAGACGATAACATTTTGGTATGGCCAGTGCGGCGGCTTTACGGACATGAGGGCTCATGTCACCACAGCCTCGTTTGATCGCAAGGGAAACAATCTGGCTGATAACCGGCACTCTGATCCCAGACATTGTACGTAAAGCCATTGCCCGCACTTGAGGGTTTTGATCTGTAAGCGATTTTTGGATCGTGTTGATTGACAAAAGCGCAAGGTCTGGCTCGGTCTCCGCATGATGAACCAGGTATATGTAGACCAGTTTCTTCACTTCGAGATTCGTGTTTGCGACGTTCTTGACGACAGTGGAGAAGAAAGGAAGCGAAGGCTCGGACGAATACATCAACTAGTAGAGTCTCGCAAGGAGACACATAGTTAGACAAAGCAAAAGCTCGATTGGGTTGATCAATACTTACGGAGATCACCTTTCGCATGCCGTCCAGGACCTCACGGTCATTGCGGCTCTCCAGGAGCTTCTTAATTTGAGAAGCACTGTGGTTGCGAGACGTCAAGCCTGTATTCGACCCTCTCGTTAAGGCGGCCGACTGAGCTGCCTCCAGGGTTAGTTCTCGAGCTGTTCCGGACAACGATCAGTAATTGAGGGCGGAAGATAACGTCGGCGAGAACGTTACCTGTTTCCAGCATTGAGGAAATCCTGGAGATCGTCTCCATTTTGTAGCTGTCAAAATCCGCAGGGCCCTCACGGGCGCACGCGGCAGGATCAAATTAGAATATAGATTCGTGAAGCTTGTGGATGAAGGGAGGGGCAAGGTTGAAGTTCAGCGGAAGAAGTGCGGGTGACTTGGCTGTCAACATCCTAAGCCTGCGGATGATGCAAGCGAGAACAGTACAGCTGCTCCCCGCCATTCAATATTATCTTCATTCTCTCTCCATCACAAAGGTCACACAATTGAACGAAGATCTATCAGAAACACGCTTGCATACGGCTTGTTACCCGATGGGCTAGGAGATTCTTGACAATGTTCGAGTTAATATTTGTTACCGCTTGATTACCTTGTGCATCGCGATGAAGACAACTCGCTGCATATATTTCTGTGATCGAGTGATGGATTTCCTACAACACCTTCTCAACAATGATGCCGATACGACTGTGCTAGTCATATGCTCAACAAGAGAGTCCTTTTTAGAACAACTCTACGCTGATGCCTCGAGTTATGCTCGAGACACGGCCGAGAAACAAGCGCTATTTACAAACTCTCTTGGGATACTCTCCAGATCAAGCAGGATCCAACTTGCTTTCTGCCCGACGCTGGAGCATTTCCGAGCCTTTATCTCCGTTTTATCCTCTCCCGCTCGCGTAAAGAAGACATCGACCAGTGACCAACACAATAGTCAGAGGCCTCTGATGGCCGTGCTGAATCCTATAGCTCTGCATCTCCCCACTTCGGAGTTCTCTGCCCAGGGATTATCGCGGACGCTCGCAACCGCAGTGGAAGTGTGTAACCAAGAAGCCATGGACTTGGTTCTCTGTGAATGTGGAGATGTCACGGAATATGCTGACATCGAGTGCGGCGAGGCTATGTGGTATGTAGAAGTACCGTTACTCAATGGCGCTACTCGAAAGGGTGGAGGAGAAGGTATCTGGAGTGGTCGAAGTGTGCCTGTGAGACGAGTTGTACAGCGATGGTTCGATTTCGATGACAGCAATCGTACGATCACAGAGCCTCTGGATATTTAGACAACCGAAAAATACAATGACCATATAAACGAGCTGAAAAAACTCCAATAAGAACGTATGGACCTCGATCCCAAAGTATAAGCCTCAACCCACCGGGTATCCTAGAACCAAGCCTTAACTCCTGTACCATAAACCCCCAGACTTTGCGACTCAAAGACACTTCTCCATTTCCGTGATGTACAGCTTGATATGCGATTCCAGTTTCAAGTATTGATCATGGGCACCTTGGATCTCGTTCTCAATATTTTCCTTGAGGTCGGCCATCTAGACGACCATTAGCATAAGAAAAGCGCATGTTGTTAGGCACACAGTCTTACCTTCTTCTCGGTTTGCTCAATTCTGATTCGTCGTCTCTCCATATCACGCTGCTTCTCTGCTCGCTCTTCACGAAGCTGTTTCTGGACATTGCGAAGCTCATCCATCCGGGCTTGAGCTATTTCTGCCTTTTCTTGCGCGTTCTTTCGCAGGGCTTCAATCCTCTCGTGCCACCGCGCAAGCTGCCGCTGCAGCAATTTCTCGGTCTGCTCCACTTCTCTGACATTGTTCCCCCTCTCGGAAATCGCTTCTTTGTTCCTCGAAGCTCGCGATTCTTCCTCTTCCTCCTTTTGTAGTTCAACAGATATATCTTCGAGTAGCTTGATGCAAGCCTGAACGTCATTTCCAACGACGGTGAATGTGTCGGAGGAGGTCTGCAATGCTCTTGCTCTTTTCTCCATGGCATCAATTTGAGCCTTCTCTCGAAGCAGGTTCTCAGACAGCTCGGTCAAGGCAGACTGTAGCGAAACCGGACTCTGCATCGCATAGGGTCGAAGCTTTTCGACTTCTTGTCTGGTACGCACGCTTCTCTCTGTCTTCTCTTCCAATTGTGCCTGTCGTCGAGCTTTATCTGCCTTTACCCGCTCAAGGGTCTCGGCAACCCTTTCCTGATTTCGTCGTAATTCCAAAAGTCGGGCTTTCAGCTCGTCGTTTCTTCTGGCCTTCTCCTTGACCTGTGCTTCATTGGCTTTCAGACTCCGGCGCATCTCTTCAAGACGTTGCTCCATCTCTTGATTCTCCGCGAACAGTGTGTCAATGCGTGCCTTCGTCTTCTCTGTTTTATTGAAATGCTCATCAATGACTTGCGTCTGGGACTCCCGGAACCTGACGAAGTTGATGAGATAGGAGAATATTTTGATCAGTCGATCATGCGTAGGTTTTGTCAGATCTGTGAAAGTGAAGTCATTGACACCACACTATTTGAATATGTAAGAAAATGCGTTAGTATCTCTGTCATGCGACCATTGCACTCTCATTTGACATACCTCCATCATCAGTCTACGTAGGCTGATGAAGAATCCCATGAGATTGCGCGTTTCTAATGGGACAATGTCGGGATAGTCGCCGCTTATATCTTCTGCGGCGGCGCGCATTGCTGGCTCTACTGTCTCCTTGGTCGTATTCATGAGAAGTTCTGCGAACCATTCGAACACCATCTGGATCTGCTGTGGATTCGGCTTGATCAAGTCGGCAGATGTGAAGGGAATCCCGATATCGTTGATGCAACCCGCGATTTCCTTATCAGGCTACTAGCACAGTCAGCATCTTGTATGACCGACGTAAAACTGGTCTATCCTAACCAGGCGCATCAACGCATCGTTTTCATCCTCTTTCTTGCGACCCCGATTGTGATGTTGCTGGGTGCCATGGAACTGTTGGCTCATTCGATGATTGTATGCCATTCTGTCATAGATTGACTTATAATTTCAGGCACTTGAGTAAGCAGACTTGAACGGAAACAGACGATGCTTGCTTGCCTTTGGCTCTTATGTTGTGATGACTGTTTACCGCAACGCACTCACATGGCAACCAGAAGCGGACTAGGGCCGTTTGTGAGGGGCATAATATGCAAACACTGCAAACACTCACTCCGCGTTTCTTTTGATGACTCTTTGCAGCTCAGCAGACTGCACGGAGTACATTTCGCCAAAAACGCGGCACAAGTCGAAAACTGCTCTCTGTCTGTGCCGGCTCCATCCTCTCGGCTGTTAATAAAGAAAGCGCTATGGCGACCAGCACATCAAGCATGTCAGACCCATCGAAACCGTTCGAGTAAGCATCTTGCACAAGAGTCGAAATATTCCAATAGTTGACCTGGTCGGCAGCATTGTCGCGACATACAATGAATTATTACGCTCTGATCCAGACCTGACCATGCCCATCGCCGCCATTGAGGCTTTGGTTCTACTGCTCACTCACTCACCATCATCCACGATATCAGAGACTCTCGATCTGCTGGAAAAATCCACCGCACACCTGAAGAAGTCGATCCCTAACCCTATCGGTCTCTCGGCCGGAACCGATCTATTCCAAAGATACCTGATTACGACTCTACAAAGGCCCGGACAGCTGGGACCGGCGGGCGACTTCAACGCGATCAGGGCACATCTGTTGTCCAACGGTCGGTTATTCATTCGGCGAGCAAAGGAAAGTCGAGACAAGATTGCTGCGTTCGGTAGAGGTTTCATCCGGGACGGATCTACGGTTCTTACAAACGGTGGATCGAGAGTCGTCGCTTCGTTGTTGCAGACGGCAGCCGGAGAGAAGGGCGGGCCCTCTGCTGTCCGTTTCCGAGTCATCTACGTCCTTTCGTCGGCCAATGGCGATGTCGAGAACACTCGTGCCGAGCCAGAGGGTATGGAGACAGTGCGCGCACTCAGGGCGAAGGGTGTACCCGTGGCCACAATTTCTGAATCGGCGGTGGCATATTCTCTTGGCAAGGCAGACATGGTGATTGTGGGTGCCGAGGGCGTGGTCGAGAACGGGGGAATTGTCTCGCGGATGGGAACATATCAGATTGGCCTTCTTGCAAAGGCAATGGGCAAGCCCTTCTACGTGGTTGCCGAGAGCCACAAGTTCGTCCGGTCTTACCCTCTTGGACAGTATGACCTTCCTATCGAGCAACATGTTATCAACTTCAAGACAGAGGAAGATATCGCAGACGAAGCCAAGCAACGGCCGGCCGAATCCCAGAAGACAACAGGAGCTGGCTCTCTGGAGGCGACTCCAGGCTCGAAAGGCGGGGGTCGTTCTGATGTGGTCGACTTCACACCGCCGCATCTGATTTCCGCCTTGATCACGGATAGCGGCGTGTTGACGCCGAGTGCGGTCAGCGAAGAACTAATCAAGATATGGTTTTGATCTTGTTTCGTTCTATTACGCATCTTGGAAATGATGATTGTTAGAGGCGCGAGGCGTTTATGCGGCTGGGACGAAAAGTATTTGCAGCGTACGGTCTTCCCAATAGAACTCAAATGATCGGCTAGAAAGGCCACATCGAATTGTCCTGTGCCGTTATTGGCATGTCGCCTGTACGTGCGGTCCATGTGTGGTGCTCACACCACATGACCGATGTGGGTGCTAGGAACCATCTGCACCTGTCCAGTAATCTGGCCAGGATGTAAGTTGCCAAAGTATATGACCACTATGTTTCCTTCTCAAGCCTGTGTTGATCCGTGAAGGTCGATCGACTACGGCGCAAGCCGTTATTCCTAGTAGTTTATTACAGCTGACCCCACAGCATAGGCCTCACAGAGGCTTCTACGCCAATAAAATCCAAATGGCTATACTTTGGAAACCTGAATATCAAGAGCAATTACAGCAGGAAGCCATGAATGGGACCTTTTGCAAAGCTCTCTGAATTCCGAAATGTGAGGCCTCATATCAGTCATACTCCCTGTTATGAACCATGATTATCCATCGTAACAGACTCGGAGGACTCCATTTGGCTTCAAATCTTCAACGAAGGGTAGCATCTTTCTGGCTCAAATGCTGTTAAGGCCACCGAATCTTTCGTAAGCTCATATAATCATCAAGTCGTATATACATGTTCTCATCAACGAGTGTCGAGCGAGTTCCGAGTCACTAACAACACCCTCTCGCTATCACATGTTCTCGACGGAGTGCTATAGATGCGGATACTCCCTGACACCCTTCG